ACGAAAATTCTTTTCACCTACTAATTAACACATAATAAATGTTGTCTAGCAAAGCAAACATAAAAAGGAATCAAAATTTGATTACACTTTACACAATTTAAGCACTTGTGTACTTTCGAAGTCCACATAATTTCAACAATTTGTTGGTTGATTTTCAATTAACAGAAACATGTGCCCTATGATTTAATTAATGATGTAATTCTGTTTATTTTCAAAATTTGGCATCGTCTTGTAAAATTGATTCTATATTTTGTACACTGAACTCAGTTCCCTTGTTCCAATTAGACAAACTAGTTGACAAGGATTACCATTTTGTTTTTAACGCCAAAATTTTATAAAATGGTAGTTGAACTACCATCGCTTTTTTTTTCTTCAATAGATATTGGGTTGCAAAATAAGTTCATAGCATTTTTTTTACAATGTGTTTTGTTAAATTAAAACCACAGGGAAAAAATAGTGCATCATTGTCATTTAATGGGTTTTTTTATTGCTACAAAGGAAACGTCCCAGCTCAAACTACTTGGAGAAAGTACTGTCCATAGCTGTTAGCTCGGTTCAAAAGAAGAAATTTTGATTTGGAAGACAGTATCCAGGTCAACCTTCAACTGTTTAGGCTTTTGTCACAAAAAAACCAACACTCGACACAAGATATTGATTAATTAAGGTTTTTAGTTGAGATAAAAAAGTCAATGGCACGAGCGGGATTCGAACCCACGATCTTCGGCTAGATACGCTGCTGCTCTACCACTTGAGCTATCGTGACCTCGATCCACTCGGACACTAACTTCCATCTCAACCCCACCTTTTGAATTTTCCTTCCTTTTTGCCATTTTTCAATTTTTTTATCTCAATTAAAAACCTTAATTAATTGTAATATATTAATTGGTAAAGCGAACCACGAAATTAGTGAATTTAATGATTTAAAATGAAGTATACTTCACTAAAGCTCTCTGTGGCCATTTCATTTGTCGTCGAGAATCCAATCCGATTACACGACATTTGAAAAATGGCAAAAAGGAGGGAAAATTCAAAAGGTGCGGTTGAGATGGGAAGTTAGTATCCGAGTGGATTGAGGTCACGATAGCTCAAGTGGTAGAGCAGCGGCATATCTAACCGAAGATCGTGGGTTCGAATCCTGCTCGTGCCATTGACTTTTTTATCTCAACTAAAAACCTTAATTAATTGTAATATATTAATTGGTCAAGCAGACCACGAAATTAGTGAATTACAAGATATTGAATTAACCCTTAACATATCCCATTCAAGTGTTTCAACAGAAAAAAAGCTGGATGTGTTTGCGCTATTGATATATGGTCCTCGCATATTGACCAAGAATTTATTGGACTGCATCCGTGATTTGTTCTTAAAATGTGACGACAATGACCCATTTTTAACAATTTAATTACTGTATATTAGGCAATGAGTCCAGTTTTGCAGAATTCAATCTTATTTTCACTCATCCGCAATCACAAGAAAATACTTAATTTCCTCTTTAAATAATCACTGTTGTTTAAATTTAATAAATTTTGGTAAGGAAGCCTGGAACTACAGGAAAGAATTAGTTCTTTATTTCATTTATTAAAGATTTTATAAATAATTGCTCTCTTTTCCTGTTTCAAGTTAATAGACTTGCTGGAACATTTTTCACTTTTTGTATAACTATTTTTTTTTATTGTTTTGTTTATTTTTAATCTTTCTAGCAGGTGGGTCTAAAAATCCAAACCATTGCTGCAATGTGTTTGGTCTTATATTATTATGTTGAAAAAGATTTTTTTTTTAAATTTAATAAAGCACTTTTTTCGTTCATTCATTAAGGACTGCAGAAACCACATCAAGTTGATCACTCAAAAACCTGAGAAGTATAAAATCTGGGTTTCCACTGTGCAAAAATCACTCATGCAACTGTTTCGTGAAACTTGTCTCACTTTGTCGATACCTAGCCAAGACTGAAACTTTTGGTGCGAGAATGTTTCAGGGAGGACCAACCAGTCTTTTTAATACGACAAATTGCTTCACACTGTCTGTTTCTCTGTGTCACACTTGTCTCGAGTATTCAAATGAACCAGGACTGCATTCGACTTATCCGAATGTATCACAGCTACCAATTTTTGTGGGATCCTAAAGATACATCATCATAGCAAGAAGAGAGAGGTTGCGTGTAAAGAAATGATCATCAAAATTGGATAAAGACAAAATGTATCGCCATGATAGCAAATGCTGTTGCAATTGGAGAGGGCCAAACTCAGAGGAGTGGTAGGACTACTAACCGGTCATTAGCATCTAAGAAAACATCTACCCAACATGGTCATATACAACGATGATCCCATCTGTAGATTATGTAATGAGGAGGAGGAAACAGGCACCCATTTCAGTTTCGAATGCAAAGCAACAGCTCAATGGAGATTCAACCTAACATACGAAAAAACTTTGGAAATGAAATTGTAGCAGCGACAGTCAATGACCAAATACTTCTAATGAGAAGGATTCAGTCTAATGCACTGAACTAAGGAGCTAGGAAGGTACAATAAGCCAGAAGGCTGCAGTGCCTGGGGAGTGCAAACCCTTCTTTGTAGTATCCTTCTTTACCATACCAAACGCTGTTGCAGCAGTTGGTGATTTATAAACGGCATGTCTTGCACAAACTGATGCTCACCTAGTTTCACCTCTAGGTTGCAAAACGTTTCGCCTTATGTTAACCCGAGATGCCATTTTGCAACATTCTCGTATTTAGTTGGACAAGTTTTTTTTTATACAAAAGAATCCCATTTTTAAAGGCTGGAACTCGTTAAATGAAAGCGAATAGTGGAACATTTTATATAATTCAATTAATTAAGGTTTTTAGTTGAGATAAAAAGTCAGTGTCACGAGCGGGATTCGAACCCACGATCTTCGGCTTGATAAGCCGCTACTCTACCACTTGAGCTTTCGTGATTTCGATCCACTTGGGCACTAACTTCCCACCTCAACCCCCACCTTATTGAATTTTTATCTCAACTAAAAACCTTAATTAATTGAAAGATATTAATTGGTCAAGTGGACCATGAAAAATAGTGAATTTAATTAATTAAAATGAAGTACACTAAAGCTGTCCGTGGCCATTTCATTTGTCGCTGAGAATCAAATAGATTACACATTTGAAAAATGGCAAAAAGGAAGGAAATTAGTGCCTGAGTGGATCGATGTCATGATAGCTCAAGTGGTAGAGTAGCAGCGTATCAAGCCGAAGGTCGTGGGTTCGAATCCCGCACGTGACTGACTTTTTATCTCAACTAAACACCTTAATTAATTAAATTATATTAATTGGTCAAACGGACCACGAAAAATAGTGAATTTATTTATAATGATATGAAAATGTTTAAAAATACCTGAAATTATCATTGAATTCAACATCAAAAAAGACTGCGGACTTATTTTATGACCATTTTTGTTTGCAATGCCATTATAACTTTTCAATTTTTACAACTTTACAGGCGGAATCACCTTGAATATGATTAAACACATAAAGAAATTTCCAAGACAAAAATCTTAATTTAGGAATCACCCAAATAAGGCTTAGGAGACACCCTGTAAATTTTCATCAGTCTTTGGAGTCTATAATTAAAATATAAATAAATACATTTCAATCTCTATAAACTAATAGCAAAGAATATATACATACAGCTAGTAATAACTGTGCATTCAAAATTTAATACTGTACCTGTTAACATGCAGACAGGAAATGGTCATGCGACTAATGTACAAAACTCTATTTACAGAAATAAAAATAAAAATAGTAAAGAAAAAGTGAAGGAAGGAATAAAAAGAAAAGCTACAAAAGCAAATGTGCGTACAATAATTTGTTAAACAATTTGTTTTATTCGGTGATGTTTACAATTATCGAGTCACTATGATAATTGACTGTATAGTATTAATCATTAAAAAATAATATATACAGTTTAACATTAGTATAGGTCAATAAATAAATATTTTCTATTTAATAATTTGAAGTAGCGACTCGTGTTTTTCATTCAAATGTTACAGTTAGAAGGCGTTCACATATTCTCCCAATAAATAAAATGTTGCTCTTGTATAATCGGAAATTTTTTTTTTTTTTGTAAATAGGTGAATCTTCAAACGGTCCGACAGGATGTAAAAAACGTTCTTTTTTAACCAACCAACTCTGTGAAGGTCTGGTCGAGGTCGTCGCAGATGTACTTGTATTTCTCCTTCTCTTGGACGAGTTCGTCTAAAAGTTCGATGAAAGAGAAAAAAAAAACCAAAAGGTGAGAAGAAGGTAAGGAAATTGAAGCTCTATTTATACCACACTATTGAAACGTTCTGATGTCGTCGTCTCTTCGCAGTTCAGAGCACAACTGATGTTAATAATCATTTTTAAATGATTATTTCATTTTGAAAAGCAGAAAAAAATATTTCAAACTGCATTTCACACGTTTTATTATGTTTTAAATAGTAAAAACAACCAGATCATTCAGTTATCAATGTGATTTGTATATCCAGTTCATTATTAATATTGTATTAGTAAGCAGAAAAAAAGGAAAACAAAAAAAAAATTTAATTACCAACCATTGGTAGCATTTTTTATTGGCCTTTTGATATAATATGATTATTTAACATAGCAGTAATAAAATTTATACCTAACTTGAACTCAACGACCCCACCAAAAAAGGGTAGAAAAATAAATATACACAAAGTTAAAAGCAAAAATAAATTGACAAAAGGTGAAAAATTGGGTAATGCTGTGATAATCAAAGAAAAGTATTTTTAAAAATATAAATAAACCCAAAAAATTATTAAACTACATAAACATTTAACAACAAAAAAATATGTACCAACAAAATTATAAAAAACTAATCCATAGTTTATTTTATTTTATTTTTTACAATAAATTATGTAAGTTAATACTCAAGAATATACAAATGAAAATAAATCTATTTCCTTTTAATTATTTAAATTTTTAATAAAAAAAGTTATTTTGCACCATTAGTTAGTATTATTGTTACTTCGGCTATCTTCTATAGTAGAAAAGTAGCATTTGTATTTTAAATAGCCTTTCACTCACACATTCTCACAACTAAAAGAAAATCCACAAAAGCAAATATGCTTATATTGCAAAATATACAAAGTAAAAATAAAATATAAATTTTGCTTTGCTAATTTAAAAAACAAAATATATAAATAGTATATATTTTATGGAACTAAAGCAATGTTAGTAAATATAAAGTTACAACACAAGCCAAGTTCAAGTTACTGAACATTTCATTAGTTAAAATAAAAATAAAAAGTGGTAAAGCTAGTTTATGTGTTGATAACGCCACAACTTCAAAACATAAATTTGTGATTTAAGTCACAAAAAAATCTATAAAAAGTGCCTAATGACAAGAAAAATTTAATTTTAAATAACTACATTCATAATTAATATCTTGTCTTTTTAGTGCAATATTTAATATGTAGTAACAAAAAGATAATGATAAATAAATAAGACGACTAAAATTTTTTTATGGCTGATGGCACATGTGTACACTGTACTTATGTGAACATGGGAAGAGGAAAGTAAGGAAGTATTTTTAATCAAAGTGAGAACATTCTCACATTTATAAAATTAAGTTTTTATAAAAGAATTGTTTGGGGGGGGGGACTGTTTTAGATGCCATAAATTTCTACAAAGGCCAGATCCAAGCCATCTCCAATGTCTCTGAATTTTTCCTTTTCCATGACCATTTCATCTGTAAAATAAAATAAATGTGGTGAAGATGGAAAGCAGGTTCTTAGGATGAAAAACAGGAGAGAAAAACGATTTAAAAAAATAATAATAAAATAAAATAAGTAGACCAGTAAAAATTCAAGAGAACATCCCGAATACAATGACTTTAAAAAACCAAACAAATTTTTTATTTATGTTTTTTTAAATGTGAACAGTGAAACCTCTTGGTAAGGAAACAGTCCTGGTATCACTACAGTGGAGGCGTAAAATTTTTTACCATGGTTATGAAAAAAAGGAATTTAGGTATTTTTGTCAGGTCCATTTGAAATCTCAAATTTTACTGTTTTTGGTATTCTTGAACAGAGTATAGCCTAAGATGGACAAAGGCGTAAGGACGACATCCACATCTTGCAAGTCATCGCTTTTTTTTTTTTTCCACGATACCAGGGACTGGAGGAGTTCCTTCCTGAGCACTGCAGCTGAGCTGTCCAGCTTATTGTACTTTATCCCTGGCTCCATATTTTGGGGGAGGTCTCGCAACACAAATGTGAACTTGAGCCCCTGTTGTGCGAGTGTTCTTCCATCGAAGAAACTCATTTTTGAAGGGGGTTGGGACCAAATTCAGGGTCGCTGAGATCCGATCCCACCCCTTCCATTGATGAGTGCCGTGTCAATTTCTTTCAATTGCGGCCACCGGTCCCCTAAGGCCTCAGAAAAAGTCCAGAGGCAACGGTGGGGATCGAACCCATGACCGCGGGATCTACTAGCCAAGAGTCTGACGCTACCATGACCACTCGGCTACCGCGGCCCCCCTAAGTCATTGCTTACACTCAACACATATCATCCTTCTAAATAAAAGGAAACAAGTGAACTTGTAAGTAGTCGAAGATCATCAACCGAACTGGCTCAAAAGTGCTAAAAAATGGACGCTAACCAAGGTATATTAGCGTAACAAGAGTAGGCTGACATTTGAAAGCGGCAGTCTGAGGCAAGAAAAAGCATTTTAGCATCCGGAAAAGTTAGCACTTAACACATGTCAGGCGAACTCAGAGCGCCATTGGGCAAAACTTGGCTTTTGGTGAATGGTGGGAGTACTCTAAGGTCCATCCGTCCAGGAACCCTTCAATATGCTATTTGGATTGTTGTGTATGAATCATTTTTTTTTAACATTTCAAAAGGGAAAAATATACAAAAATCAGAGTTTTTATGAGAAAAAAAAGAAGAAAATCAGTTGGTGCATAAAGTGCGTGGATATATTTTCAAAAACAGTTAAACAAAGCACAGTTCTTTATCCGAGGTTTCACTGAAGTCCAATAAAATTAACTTATCCCAGAAAGGCAATTACAGTTGACACTTATAAAAAAAAAGATTAATTAGGGAAATAATATAAATTTCCCCATTCAATTATGAAATAGAACTTTATAAAAACTTAACGCCGCATTCTATCTGCACTACATAACAAATAATTAATCCCTTAAACTGGTCTACAGCATAAATTAAATTTCTAACCAAAAGAAAAAAATAATAATATTATAGTATAGAAACAGAGTTAGAAAAAGTTAAGAGGAGTGCATGCAGAGAAGATTAAAGGAAAATTGTTTGAAATGTGTTAGTTGTGATGTTTTCAACTGAAGGCATATTAAAAGGTAGAAGCTGGTTTATTCAAGTAAAGTTGAACTTACTTAAATTTCATTTAAATGAATTAATGAGGAACAAATGTGTAAATAATAATTTGGCATTTTAGCGAGAATTTTTTTATATTAACAAAATTTAAGTTACAAACTGTAATTTAAATAGTTAATAAGATTTAAAAAAAAATTATTTTTAAATACAAAATATGTTAAAATATGAACATTTTAGTTCAAAGACGAATCTTTCCATTCTAAATTTACTATGGGTATTATACACTATGTTTCTTTTGTATAATTATTTTAATTACAAATTTGGACCAATTTTTCTATATTGAAATACATTAGGAACAGATTCTCTACACAAATTAATGTCTCAAAGGTTATTTCATCTAACATTATTTCCTCAAAAATGTATAAAATATTAAAGACAATTAAATTTTTTATAAACTTCAGTTATAATGGAACTCAGTTTTCATCCAAGAAGAGAAGTTCAATTTGGAAATATCAAGTGATTCGATGAAAAGTGATGTTCCAAAATAAGATAGAAAAAAGAATGAAATAAAATTGAAAAAATAAAATCAGTTAAAAAAAATAATAGGTGCAATCAAACCTTTATTGGGTTATGCAATGGCACAGTTAAGGGTTGTGCGATGGTATATTTGTTGCGAGTAGTATACAAGGAAGACATGAGTATGAGTGGCAAGGAGGTTAAGGAATATTATGTGGAGGAGTTTGGCTAAGGTCGGACAGGAAAGGAATTCGTTTGTTTGTTTTGTTTACATGTTTTGTATGTCATGAAGCGTCGCTTCCATCTCCTCCTGAAGCAATTTGTTCTTCTCCTTTTCCATTACGAGGTCGTCTGTTGCGATTTTATACAATGTTTATAAAAATGCCGGGCGTCGAAATTTGAAGAAAACATATAAAAAAAAACACAAAAAACAACACTTAGGTCATGCTCAAACCAAACAAATTATAATAATTTAACTCTGTAGAATAGCCATAACTAAATAAGTTAATCAAAAACCAACTAAGAAAACTAATATTACTGTAAAAACAAGCAAGCCAATATTGTGCTCTGAATTACTTACGATACAATAAAAAAATATATATAATATACATACTAAATAAATAGAAAATGAGAAATTCATGCTAATTTAAAATAATATATATAAAAAAAGCTAATATTTAAACTAAATTTCCAATTACTTAAATTAATTAATTTGTCTAATTAGAGATGAAAAAGCTAGGGTCACAAGCGGGATTCGAACCCGAACGTCGTGGGTTCAAATTCTGCTCATGACACTAGCTTTTTCATCTAAACCAAGACCTTAAATTAAAAGTATAATTAATTTAAATAATAAGTTGAATTATGACTACTAAATACATATATGGATTAATATTTCTAATTAATGCAAGTCTAAATTTGAAATAACTGAAATAATTTTGATTTTTTTAAAAGATATTTTCTTGTGTTTAAGAAATTGTGTAAAAAAAGTCTTACCCTCAAGCCTGTCAACCTCCTTCTGCAATTTCTGTACTGCACGCTCAGCGAATTCAGCTCTGACTTCAGCCTAGATTAAAATGAATAATAATGTTACCAAAAGACTGGAAAGATTATAGTAAAAAGTTAATTAACTTTTAGTCTTTCAGCGATGTAAATTTCACTCAAAACAAATATATCAATCAAAAACAACAATGTTTTAGTACAAACTTTCAAAGTACTTAAAATTAATATTAAAATTAGGCTGTTAGATTTTTGCGCAAACAACACATCAAACAGTACTTACTGTCTGCACGTGAATATGAAAAACTTTGGAGTGCTGATTTTATTAATATAGTTATAAACTATATTACATATTTTTTTATCAAATAATTAATATATATTTTAGATAGATAAGGTACTTTTTTATGTATTAATCTTTATAATACAGATTGTACATTTTTTATATATCTAAATTCTATTATTTTACCTCTTTAAGTTGAGAAGAAAGGGCCTTCACTTGTTCTTCGAAAGATTCTTCTCTTTGGGTTGCCTGTTTTAGAAAACCAGTTAGTGAAAAACAAACACAACATACAAAAATTGCCATTAGTGATAAATCCGTCTCAAGTGTAGTGAGTATAGCTTTAGTAACAAAAAACCATTGGTAAGGGGGGGGGGCACACAATCTATACCTCCTTGAGACGGTTAGTGAGGGTCTTAATTTGGTTCTTGTACTCTTCCTCACGTTGGTTGGCCTGTCGAATTAATATGTTCTCAGTGGGAATATTTAAATTTTACTTTTTTTTATCAACTTTCTTTCTTTTTTTTTTTTCTTCATATTCTTACATTTTATATTTGTGTATAAATAAATATATGTTAGGATAAATACAAGGCCTACCTTTTCCTCAGAAACTTCAAGGGATTTTAAGTTGTTACCGACGACACGGAGTTCCTCCTCAAGTTCTACTATTTTCCTAAAAACAAGAGAATTTATATCAATGTTGTCATAAATGGGTATAACTTGGAAATAAAAATAAAAATGTTACTTAAAAAAATAAATAATTGTTCTAATTATAAATTAAGGTTTTAACAGTCATCAGTTATGAATCTCGTGCAAAATAACTAAAAAGGGCAAGCAAAAACGAGTGCAAATGTTTCAATGTTAACAAGAAATACAAGGAGAAATAATAATTGTGTAAAAACAAGCAAACGACTTGAAAAGCATAATTTAAATTATATACTCCGTCCTAAAGTGAATAGTTTAACCGTTAAGTGCTGAAACCCTCAGGGGCAAAACTGAATAAGTCAAAAAGCAAAACTTTTCAGGACTGTAGTTTTTGTACTAAATTATTTTCATTATGCCCATATTTGATGAAATTCGGTGTACAGTGCTCTCTCACTAATCTGAACTTCAGAGATCTGAAGTTATATAAAAGAAAACGATTTCCTTGTTGATTTAATCATTTGTACAAATTCTGTTCGACGTAAAGAATATGCACTTATTCCATTATTGACCAAAATTGCACTTCTTTTATAAATGAGATTTAAATCCTATTGTTCAAATTAAACTTAAATGTTAATTCACTATTTCATGGTCCGCTTGACCAATTAATATATTACAATTAATTAAGGTTTTCAGCAGAGATAAAAAAAGTAAATGGCACGAGCAGAATTCGAAAATGGCAAAAAGGAGGGAAAATTCAAAAGGTGTGGCTGAGATGGGAGGTTGATGTCTGAGTGGATCGAGGTCACGATAGCTCAAGTGGTAGAGCAGCAGCGTATCAAGCCGAAGATCGTGGGTTCGAATCCCGCTCATGCCATTGACTTTTTTATCTCAGCTGAAAACCTTAAATGTTAATCTTTAAAAAGGTAATTGATAAAGTAGTAATTCTCAAATATAAAAAAATGACACAACTTTCAAATGTTATTTTAAATTTTTTGGGCAAAGAACATTAAAAATTCAACAGTATTGATATTATTCCAAGTGACCATTTTCATTAAATAGCTCGTTTCAAAAAATGAATATTATGATATTTCCTTTCTTCCATTGTTTAATTTATCACCCTGAGAAGAGAAAAAAACCTAAAAATTATTTAACCCCCACTTTCTAAATTTAAACAATTTAAAACTGTGATTTTATTACAGAATTCTTTAAACTTTTCAAACTCACAGGTCACTTTGTTCAGCCCGCTCTTCCGCACGCTCGAGGTCCTGTTCCATCATGACCAGCTTTCTAGCAACCTAGTAATGACAGGAGTAAAAAAAACATGCAATAACAAGCTAGGTAGTATTTTAAAAAGCAATAAAAAATAAATTAATTAAAAAACTAAAAATAAAAAAACGAAAAATTAAAAACAGCACTCAAGGCAAAAAAAATTAAAGTACTCAAGAAAATTCAAAAAATGTCATTCTTTAAAAAAAATCATTCACAGGTTTAAAAAGCAGGGTGTCAAAACACGCAACTAGTGTGGTAAAAAAAAAATTTAGGGGTCGGGACAAAAACAAGAGGATTTTCTCAAAATCTCTTACGATTCACCGGATTCGGCACGCTCTTCAGCTCTTTCAAGATCGGCTTCAACCATGGCCAACTTACGAGCAACCTAAGCACCATAAAAGGTAAAAGATAAATCTATTGTTAGGTATGCAAGGGAGGGTTGACTTTTTATTATTATTCATTTTTTTAAAAAGGAAACAACTTTTAGGCATTGATATTTGAGAGAAAAAATTAAGGTTTTTTTAAAATGTAAAAATGAAATTTTTAGCAGGGGATTTTTAACAACCGAAGTAACAAAAAAAATCACTGTTCTTGAGTGCCAAACATTTTAGAACACGCAATTCCCTATTAGACATGTAATAAATAATGTAAAACAAATATTAATGAGTGATAAAATATATTTAAAAAAAAATGTCTTCATATATATAATTAACAATAAAATAAAAAATTTAAATAAATATAATAAAAATTAAATATTATTGTTAATTATATATATATAAAATAAAATAATCCTTAAAAACAAATTTCTAATGAAAAAATAGTTATATAGTATATAGATGAAATAATATAGAAATAGCTTCTATACTTACCAAATAAAAGCAACATAATATTTTATAGATCGTACATTACAAAAATTTTTAAGTAAATTTATTGTCAATTAATTTTAATTAAAAGCACAACATAACACATCACCAATAATAATAACGTGTAATGTAATAATGTGCCTTCATAGGAGTGATATAACAATTATTAATAAGTGTCAATTGAAAGAAACCATAAATAAACAAAACTAATAAAATAATTATTAATTTATTTTGTATAATTATCTAGTAAGAATGTTAAATTCTTTTTCAATGTAAAATTTTATAAAATTTGTGTAATACAAAAATAGAAAGGCTTTTTTATAATACAAATTTATATTATTCTAATAATTTTTTAAACTTTAAATTAGTAAGGAAAATAAAAATCTGAACATTTTGAAAATGAAAAATTTAAAATAATCAATTTGGATAATATTGACTTAGAAAAGTTATTTGAAAATTGTTTAAATGTTTTCAAATAAATAGTACATATCACAATTGATAAATTGAAGTGTTAGTAACATTAATAAATTAAGTGTAATAACAAAATAAAATGGTACAAATATAAAAGAATGGGAAACGAATGACAAATTAAACAATAATTATTTATAAATAGAAGAAATAAAAATTTAGTCTTGGTACAATTTGCATTATGCTCCACTATATAACTAAATTCATCAATAAATTATAGATATTAATTATATGCAGAGCATAAACTGGGTCGTCCTTCATTTTACAAAAAAAAAAACATATTTATCAAAACAAATTTACACCTTGCACATAAATTTCTCACTGTGAATTCACTTGGTTTGACATTACCACCCCCATCCCTCCCACAACAGTAGACCCGATTCCCTTTTCGGTAAAACCATAACTACCCCCCCACTCCCACAACACGCACTTTGTTTAGGAAAAAAAAATTCACTTTATAAGTTTTTTGTTTAGAAAAATAAAATTAGCTGAGTAAACGTAGGCACTGTAAGGAACAAAAGAAAAAAAACATTGCACATTAAAAATAAATTAATCACCTAGGTTTGAATTATTTCATTTTGAAAAGTTTGTCAAAGTTATTTTTGAAAAAAATTTCAATGAATCTTGTATTCATTGAGAAATTGCGATATTCAAAATAGCAGCCACATTATCTAATATCATAAGTTTATTTTAACTACTTTTATTTTCTTACTCCTTTTACTTTCTTAGTAAGTTTATTTTAAATTGTAAAGTTATTTGAGGTTTTTTAAAAGTATATATTAAAACAAAAAATTCTTAGAATTCCACTAACAAGAATTTTTTAATTATGGGGCTACTATTTAGTCAATCGTTCTTTCACAATGACATTTGAAAAAAACATTTTGAGATAACCCATGCTGTAGACTGATGAACGTGAATACCTTGAAGAAATGTCAAACTAATTAAGTAATCAACTCTTAACGCATGCACAACTTACTGTAAAAACTATTTTACTATTATTTTTTTAACCAAACAAAAAAACAAAGCTGGCATTGGAAATAAAAATCAAAGATTATTGTTGGAGGAAGGATTGGATTTGTTGAGGGTTGGTTGGGAGGGATTGGCTTTCCACACAAGGGTAGGTCATTTTTTTCAGTTTTATGTATTCACCTCATCATATTTCTTGTCAGCTTCTTCAGCAAGGAATCTAGCTTCCTTCAGCTGGTTCTCAAGAGCATCCATACGCTCTTCATCTGCCAAGCTTCTGTTCTCAAGGATTTTGCGCTGTCTGAGGAACAACGAGGCAAAAAAACACATTTTTACCATATTCACCAAGAGAATGAAAATACAATTTTAAACCATAGTTTTCAATCAATTCTTCATATCGGCGGTTTATAAGATAGGATGTGCAAGGAAAGGATTTTTGTGCCCAGCCTGTTTTTCCCCCATGGTGATTTACAAATTGATAATGAGGTTCTTCAATTCAAATTTCGTAAAACATGAAACTTCTCATTACCAGTGTATTTTTGTTTAAATTTATATTTTCTTAGCTCTGTACTCACTTCTTCGTATTTTTTATCAGATTCTTCTGCAATTAGTTTGGCCTGGGCTAGTTGCGATTCGAGGCTTCCGACCCTGTCATCTTCCATATTTGTCCTGTTTTCCAGTGCTTTCCTTATCCTTAACCACACAAAAAATGCACACAATACAAGCATTTAAAATCTAATTGTTAGGGAAGAAAAAAAACATTAAACAAATAAAAATCCATGCATTAGTTATGACTTAAAAAAAAAAAAAAATTAATGACATGATTTGACAACACCCCAGTCTAGGGCTTTAATTAAGAAATTACCTTTTTTTGTGTTACCAATTATTTTATTTAAATCCAGTGCATCACACACAAGTATAATAATTAATGCATGGATTTTAAATCAAGGATCATTGTGCTAAAAAATGTCAACTTTATAGAATAAAGGAAAATAAAATTTTAAAAAATATCTGACTCATTAATTTCAAGTAAAATTGATTATTTTTCTCTTTTCACAAAATTGGAAGTATAAAACTATCAATAATTTGCTGAGCTAATTGATTTTAATACTAACATAAAATATGCTGTAGTTCTGCAAAATGTCCCTACTGCATATTTATTTAAAATTAGTCTTCCAAAAGTTATTTTTTATTTTCATTTTCTTGCTAAATCAAAATTGGTTACTAAAACTATGAAAAGGTGAAACCAAATTAAACTTAAAAACCAAACTTATTAGCAGCAAATAATTATTTATGTAAACTCTGCTTAAAATAAAAATAAAATAAATATAAATAGAATTAAAAAGAGAAAAAAAGGCATTTTTAAAGCTCAGCAGCTTATAGGTTAAATTATTTTGGTTTTCTAGTAGGCTAAAAAACAAGGGAATAATCTGATTCAAAATATTTAATTAAGCAAAATCAACCTGGTTGTTAATTATGTTATAACACCCAAAATCAAATACCAACCTTCACCATAAATACCGCCTTCAGCCTTCTTAGAGTAACTGATAATGTGAAGTTTTTTAAAAGTAAATTCTCAAATTCATTTAGTTTAGTACAGAAATTTAAATTCAAGTTGGGCACGAAGGACATATTAAACAAAATAAATTAGTAAACAAGAGTTCTTATTGATTAAGGAATAGGGCTATCACCAGAGGAGTAAAATAAAAGAAATTAAGATAATGCTAAATTGCAAGTACTATGAGCTTGAAAATTTGTTATAAATTAACTATCTAGTTAAATTAACTTAAAATAATTAACAATGAAATTTAGAATTTAAAAATTATTCATTTGCAGGAATAAATAAAAACTTATTATCGACCTTTATCAAATAGTTTCATAAAGAGACAATACCTTTCGGACTCATCTGCGGCTTGGGATGCTTCTGCAAGTTTGGCAGTGGCAGTGGCCAACCTTTCCTCTGACCTTTCCAAATCTTCTTCAAGGAGTTGGATACGCCTGTTAAGGGCAGCCACCTCACTCTCAGCCTGGCAACCAATAATGCATTAGAGAATGTTTAGAAATTGACGTATTACATTTCAAAAATTAATACAAACAAACGACCTATCTCATTTTGTATTAAATTTATGACATAGGAAAAAATTATAAACGGAATTATGTACCATTTTAATTGAAAAAATTATGTCATAATTATATCATTATGGATAGGAAATGAGCCAATAGTCCAGATTTATACTCAACTTATGATTTTTATCCCCTGTGAAATAAAATTTAAAAAAAAATATATATGGACATTTATTGTTGGCACGATGAAACTGTTTTTCTAAACGTACAACCAGACTACATCTCACGATCTCTAAATAATCAGTATGTAAATAGGAAAGAATATATTTAAGAATGAATGAGAGTATGAATTGGTTTGGATCTGGTGACTGAATGTATCGGGGGGCTAAATTGTTGATAGCCCAACCTCGGTTGTTGGATGGATAAAACCGAATTCTGACCCCAGTCTGCCATCACCCAATATGGGTGATCCTCAATTCCTGCCGATATTTTATTTTAAATTACACAAAAGCTGAAAATGCCTGCGAGCTGCAAGAAGTGATATGCTCAACTCCGTACATGCACATATATACATGCATATGCGGATTTGAATTTATATAAATCAACAATTGGTGTATTAATTTATTTAATTAAAATAAATTGTTTCCACATTGTAAAGTGTAAATGACTAAAAATTTATTATTATACTTATCAAAATTTACAGCATTTATTACAAAATACTTCATATATCTGAAGTATCATCCAGGAAATAGTAAATATATGACGTTTTCTTATCTCAAGAGCATGAGATAACATGTGAAGAATTGTTAAGTTTAGTCATAGATAGTATAAAAGTAAAACCGCAGTCTTTCACCTGGCAAATGAATGAAATAGGACCAAAAGAATTCTAGAAAAAAAATGGTTTTTTTAAGAAGAAAAATAACTGGGAATGGTGTCCCCAAGAATAATTTACATGAAATAAATAAAGGAAGTTCCTTCTATGAAATTAAAAGTAAAAAAAAAAGATAGAAATCTTAGCACAATATATACCAGTAAGGCAGGCCAGAAGAGAAAATTACGAGAATATTAAACAAAAATAACAAATGTTAACGTGAGGTCTCTGCTTGGAGGGAGAGGAAGTGATTATACAGGTGGGATTTAAAGGAGGAAAAGGAGGCAGAGTGACAAATAGAAAGGGGAAGGGAGTTCCAGAGTTTAGGAGCTCGGATCAGAAAGGATCTTTCGAATGTATGGGTTGTATGTTGCGGAAGGATAAGGTCGATTGGGATGAGCGGGTCTTACGAGTGAGATGTGAGGAGTTGAATTGGAGGGATTGGATGATGTAAGGACGACGAGTGTGGATGGACTGGAAAAGAAAGCAACCTAGGAAATACTGTGCTCAGGAGGGGAATAGCCAGGAAAGTTGGGAATACAACCCCGACACCGGATCCCCATGGGGTGCTGTACACAAATCTTATGCAACAATTCATAATACGCTTTAATCGCACGTTCCCCCCTCCGAGAGACCACTGTATGCAGCACAGCTGTAATCGAAGAAGGGGAAGAAATAAGGGAAGATACAAGGGGTTTGCGGGTGGAGAAAGGTAAGAGAAGCCAGGACCGACGAAACAGGCTAAGGGAGGCAATGGAATGGAGGGGAAATTTGGGAAAAGAGAGAACGCCAGGAAAGGTTTTGGTACCAAAGGCTTTGGTTTTTAACCGAGGAGCAGAAGGGGACGGGATGGTTATTTAGCATGAGAGGTGGGATGCTGGGGAGGGAATTGAGGAGTTGTCTGGACCCGATAATTATGGCGATGGATTTGGACGGATTGACGTCTAGGGAATTTTTATGGGCCCATTCGTTGATGGAGTTTAGGTCTTTTTGGATCTTGAGAATGGCCAAGTGAAGATCGGAAGGGTGGAAGGATATGTATATTAGGGGGTCATCGTTATATAGGTGATGGTTACAGGACTGGATGGAGCGGGCAGGTCAGTGATATAAATGGAAAAAAAGGATAGGAGAGATTCTAGAGCCTTGGGGCACCACAGATTTTAGAGGGAGGAAGGAGGAGGTAAGGCCATTGGAAAGGGAGACAGCTTGTTGGCGATTGGTAAGGTAGGAAAGTGGAACCATAATAGATTCGGACAAATAATAGAGATCTGCTTCAACCAATTTATTTTCATTGTTTGGACAAAATAAACGCACCGCCCTTCATATTTTACCTACCAAAAATAGGTTTGGTTGCAAAAATTAGACGTTTAAAAAGAAAACATTTACCACCTAATGCTTTAAAAATGAAAAAAAAATTGAGTAAAGAACAAAAAACCGAATATTCAAAATTTTATTCTTCCATCCTTCTATAAATTTTTTTTTCCATGAGGAAAAGATCGAACGAAACTTCAAATTTAGCAGAAAGGGGGCTGAGAAAGGGTTTATACCTCAAAAACAATAAAAAAGGTATAGAAGGATTTTACTCGGAATTGTAATAAATCAAGACGACCTACTCAGACTATATCAAGCCGACCATGATTTTATGAGACTTGGTTGGTTGGAAAAAGAACGGTTTCTGAGAAAAAAAAAGGATGTTGATTGACGCAAGCCATGAAATAATATTGACCAATGACCGATGTTTTCCAATGTATTGCAAAATTTAAAAAAATAAAATAAATAAATAAACAAACGTTAACTTCCGAAAAAAATGACCTGTGCTTCGGCATATATACCTGGATAAAAATTCCAATTGTTGATAAAAGAGTTGTTTCGTACAATTCCCCCCTCGAAAAAAAAAGAAAAAATTCACCACTTTATATCAAAATAATATTTATATAATATATTAGTTATTGTAGGCCTAATTTTATAAAAGTGAGTTTATTTTACAACACACGCTCGTGTACACCTGCATAATTCTATTGTAACGACACAACAATGGGACAATGAAAGTTCCGGAAAGGAAACGTTTGATACCAAAGAGAAATGAGCCGGCAGGTTTGCATCCTTTAGCATTTTTTTTGTCCAACTTTATAATCGGAAAGCTTTCAACTTATTAGAACTGTCTGTTCAATTAGCATTCGACTAAGCTACGACAAAATTATTTTGTTTTGTCTTTTTTCTAAGTCATACAGCCGAGTTATTATAGGGCATGTCTCATAGTCAAGAAATCCTTTAGAACAACGTGAAAAAGAAAACATGATCATACATAATAAATATAATCTAATAAAAACACCCTATTGATGTTGAAGGCTAGACTTTTTCCCCACCCGCAAAACAAATATGTAACAGCTTCGAAAGAAAATTGAAACATTCGAATTGTGTAAAACCATTCGTATTTTTTAAGAAAGAGCACTATATTCGACAGCACTAAGAACCAGAGTAACCTATGATTCACTAATCTGATGAGCCAAAGTACCCCAACATTAGGCAGCATACAAAAACTTGCAAACCTATGCATCCAAGTATATGGATCCTATAAATAACGCTAGGAAAGCTTGTAGGCTCCAGAAACAATCTCGATGGGAACTAAACACTTCGGGTACGAAACAATAATCAATAAAAATCAGGCAATCATTCTTAGAGATGGATTCTTGACCCCGGAAACACATTACTACACCTTATAGTCTCAACAGACTACAAAGGAGAAGATGAGTTCAGGATGAAATCAGATACAGCGATATGGTATACAGATGACTCCAAAACCCATAAAGGAATCTAACTGGCATTTGTACAAGCCCCAAAAAATGAGCAAGCAAACTAATTAGTTTAGTACACCTCGGCATATCAAGCTGAAAAGCATGCCATGCCTTATAGTCTTAAAATAGGTTACATGGCAAAAAAAATCCTCATAAGATCGGATAACCAAGCAGCTATTAAAGCAATAGTATGTAAAAAAAAATCACATCAAAACTAGACAGTGAATATAACCAACTGGGAAAACACGGCCTGATATCTTGGGTACCAGGAAAAAAAGGGAATTTTGAGTGAAAAAGCAGACACGCTGGCCAGAGGAAGATCTATCTGCAAGATCATATGTCTGAACCTTTTCTTGGAATAAGAAAAACTACTACAGGATCTTCCATCGCACAATGGATCCAAAGAAGGCAAAAGGAAAAATGGACGAACTCTAGGGGTGCTTGACACAGTAAGCTTATAAAACCCTCACCAAAACTGGCAAACACTACTTAGGTTAGAGAGGGCTAAACTCGAAATACGGCTACTGGCATCTGAGAAAACATGGACGGTATTCAATGACCCCATTTGTAGGTTATGCAATGAGGAGGAAGAATCACTCAGATCATCTTCGAATGCGAAGCAACCGCTCAATAGAGACAACCTCGGACACAAAGAGAACCCAGGGAAAGGAATTGCAGTAACAGTCAATGACCTAGTACTCCTTAGAAGGATCGATTCGATTGCACTGAACTAAGCAACTAGAAAAGTATAATAAGCCAGAAAGCAAGATTGGGAAACAAACCCCCACTTCCTAGTATCCATCTTTAAGAAAAACTTTATTTAGAAATCGTGAGATGGGTCTGGTGTGATGTAGGTTTCAGAAAAAGATTTTCTTTATCGTGCCAACGTTTCGATCTTTATTGAGATCATCTTCAGGGCCTGGGATTTACAAACATTGTTTATATATTACAATTACATTTTGGATGTGGAAAAGTGAATTTATACAATGCAAAATATATTTTTTTATATTCAATCAAAGTATTTCTACTCACTCAAAGTGTTTGTCTTCTGTGTAATTGTGCCATTCTTGCGTGTCGTGTCGTGAGTGCCAGTGAGATTTTGCTATTTTGTGTTTATATACGTTGGATTTTGAAGGGGTGGGGAAGGATGTCGGTAAATCCCAGGCCCTGAAGATGATCTCAATAAAGATCGAAACGTTGGCACGATAAAGAAAATGTTTTTCTGAAACCTACATCACACCAGACCGCATCTCACGATTTCTAAATAAATATCGATTAACGGTCACTAATCACCACA